GCAACAGGCGACAGGGGAGGAGAGCCCCCGCCCATGCCGCTCGCCCCGCCCCTGGGACGCTGGGGGCTGGGCCGCGCAGTTGCCGTGGCAACACGCTGTGTTTGTACTCTGGGGAGTCTCGTAGCGATCCATGGCGGGCCCTGAGCAGCGCCAGCCCCAGCCTGCCGCATGCAACTTTCCGTCTGCGGCCGAGCGTCCGCTGCAGGTGAAGGTGGTGGGACTCTTCAAAAGCTCCAGCTTTCAGATCGCTAAGAGCACAGCTGAGGTAACGGCGGAAAAGTACCGAGTGTGGTGTCCTCCTAGCCCCCGAGCCAGGGCAGCTAGGACCGTGTTCTTGGCTCCTTGTTGTCTGCAGGGGTCGCTGTTCTGAGGAAAGAAGGGGCGGAATAGGCTGGCTCTGCTGGATCGCGCCGAGGAGCCCGTGGGAACAGGAGCAGGTCCGGACAGGGTTTGACTTGGAAAGGCACACCCTATTAAGGGAGATCTGAGCGAAGGAAGCGTTCAGAACCATCCCGGGGAAAATGATAATTCCCATCACTGTGTGTCCAGACGTTTCATTCCTTGTTATCATCAACACCATCATCATAACTGTTATTATTTGGTTTTCTAAAGTTACGTCTTTTGAACTACTCGCTATGTAGTTTAGAAGGGCCTTGAAATTCACTTTGTAGGTCAGGCTGGCCTCGAATTCTGCCTCAGCCTCCCAGGCGTTCATCACCACGCGTGGCTCCACATTCTTTTTTTTTTTTTTTTTTTTTAGTACTGGAATTGAACTCGGGTCCTTTAGCTTTCGAGGCAGGTGGCAGAACCACTGAGCTAAATCCCTGGCCCTAGACACTAACTTTTGACTTGCACATATTCTTCACATAACATGAAATATTAATCTTTTGATTTTTTTCAACAATTTAATAAAAATCTAAAAATTAGGTCTGCGACTGTAGCTTAGTGGTAGAACATTTGTCTAGCGTGCACAAGGCGTTGAACTTGATCCCCAACACCACAAAAACAAAACAGAAAACCTAGAAATTAATTTTGGTTTTCTGGCCTTATAAAACAGGCAAAATCACTGGCCACAGTTTGCCAGTCTCTGCTGTAAAAGACTCTAGGCCAAGAAAACAGTATTTCTAATATATTAATAATATTTACCCTATTACTCTTTTTTAATATGAAAGCACCTCAATGTAACTCAGTTTGTTCTGTCTTTTAGAGTATTTAAATTATATTCCCAACGTGATCATTTGTGAGCAATCCCAGATGCCTGATTCACTGACAAAGATTTAGATCTGTAAACAGTAGTATTACATGTACTTTAATTTGGATGTACTGTAGTTCATTCCAGAACAAATAGTAAATTATGATAAAACAGGCAGTGCTTAATTTGAAAACTGCTAGGAATATTAGTTTTTCCAGATAGTTCCTCAGAAAATAGCAGCCATCAGGATTTAGCTCAGTGGCACCACACCTGCCACGCGAGCACAAGGTCCTGAGTTTGATCCCCAGTACTGCAGAAAAAAAAAGAAAGAAAAAAGAAATAGCGATCTCGAAGAGTTGCATGAAACTGAGCACACAGGAACTGGAGAAACAGTGCACACCATGTTTGTGGGGTATAGTGATCTAAGAAGGAAATGGGCCTGGGCCAGGGATTTAGCTCAGTGATTTTGCTACCTACCTACTTTGCAAGCGCAAGGATCCAACTTTGATCCCCTGTACCAAAAAAAAAAAAAAGAAAGAAAGAAAAAAGAAATGGACTGATTGCTTTCACCTTCTGCTACTCCTCATCTAAAGCATATTCTTCACATCCTGGCTTGCTTGTTCTCAAAAGGCTGCCTTTTTTTTTTTTGGACTGGGGCTAGATCTCAGGATCTTGCGTTTGCAAGGCAGGCACAGGTGCCACTGAGCCAAATCCCCAGCCCTCAAAAGGCTTACTTCTGATGAAGTGTGCTGGGCCAGTGCTGTGTCAGACAGGGCCTCCCAAGCCCCTTCTTGGCATACAAGGTACCAGGTGGAGTAGCCAACCTTTCCCTGTTAGCCTGTTATTTTCTCATATTCACTCAGAAAACTCAGGTCTAGTTGTTACTGTTTCAGCTGCCTTCTTTTCCTTTTTCAAGGGAAGCAAACTGAAATTTAAAGTCCTTAAACAAACTTGGTGTTTTTTGGGTTTGTTTTTTTTGGGGGGCAGGGATTTCTAACAAATAAGAATTTTCTCTAATTCAAATGAAACAATGTATGTTCAACCAAAACAATCAGTACCAAACTTTAACTCTAAACTTAAACTTAGTATTTACTTTTCTTCTTCCTAAGGAGTATAACTATAATATCCTTTTGTTCATTCTCCTTATATATTTGCTAGCAGGGATTTAATTTAGAGAAAAGCAAGTCCAAAAGAACATAGCAGATAGATCACAAAACTGTTGACAAAAACTTATTTGTTTAAATTGCTATGTGTGACTGGTCCACAATACTCAGTGGCAAGTGGACTACAGGAAGAGGAAGGCAGTCCTTACCCTCAGGATCTTAGAGACAAATAAACCAAAGCCAGGCGTGTCCCACAGCGTGACCTGGAGAGGTCTCTAGGGGCAGGCAGGTGATATCTTAGACTGTGTGGCCTGGGTATGTACCGCATAAAGCTGCCTGGAGATCCTGTGAAAGTTGAGAAAATGTTTTGGACTTTAAAAGAGAATTTACTGGGCTGGGTGTGGTGGTGCACATCTATAATCCCAGCACTCTGGAGGCTGAGGCAAGAGGATTGCTGTGAGTTCTGAGACCAGCCTGGGCTACATAGTGAGTTCCAGGTCAGTCTCAACTACATAGTGAGAGCCTGTCTCAAAAAAACAAAAAAAAGAGAGAGAGAATTTACACCAAACTAATTATTTTATTTTGAAACCTAGAGTCTGAAGAGTACTTATCCATCAAAATTTGAAGACTCTATCATAATCCCTCTTCAAGAATTTGCCTGGGATCAATATCTACAGGAGAAAAAAAGGGTAAAGGAATTTTGGGGGTGTGGGGGAAACTGACAACAAGCAGTGTTCTCCCTGAATTTTTTGTCTATGCGTAGCCTCTCCGTCTCCCTCAGCTTCATCTCGGGCCTCTCTCCCACTCTCCCCACTGAGCTACACCCCCAGTCCCATCCCACCCTCGATTACTGTCAGTTGGAGGACGGCAGCTTGAGCTCAGGGGAGAGGATTCGTGTCAGGCGCATGGCTTCACTTTATCTCGTGAAGTTCCAGAAGACTAGAAGGATCGCGTGACTGGTAGTAGGTGTAGGGTGTGGCTCAATCACACTTCCTAAGTTATGCCAGTTATTTGACCAGGCTAATTTTATTTATTTAGTTATTTTATTTTATTTGGTACTGAGCATCGATCTCAGATCCTTGCACTTGCAAGGCAGGCGGCAGAACCACTGAGCTAAATCCCCGGCCCTGGGGTGATTTTATTTTAAACTGCAAAATGTTTACAGAATTTTCCCTTGGAAAGCGTAAGATAATGGTTCAGTTTTACACTCTCTGTGGTTGTCCACCCGTGCTGAGGTTACCCCTCTCTCCCTGCCTGTCACTTGCGCTTCCTGTGACACCCTGGCTGGTGACTGCGACCTGGCCTTCACTCTGGGAAGTGTGGGTGGTGTAGAGCCCAGGGGTCACTAGGGGTTTGTGTGGGCTGTTTCCCCGAGGAGCTCTGATGACAGTCACGCAGTTGCTGCAGTGCAGCCTGTCCCAGTTGTCCCTGCTCCCAGTTCCTCCCCTCTAACAGTGCCTTTGGGAAACCCCAGAACTAGCGCTAGCACAGCATGTCCAGGGACGGTAGATAGGTTTGTTGCTGAGCACCACTCCGATTCGATGGTACTGCTGCCTGGAGCGTGTGCTAAGAGGAAGTAAAGTGGCATCCTAGCCCCGTGATCGCTCATGCTGCGAAGGGCAGAAAGTGGTACATCTGCTTGTCTTTCCTGGTCCAGTCTTAGTCCTCACTTCTCTACCCTACCTCATCTCCCCAGTGGATGATGACAGTTCCACTTCCCTGGTCAGAACGGTTTCTATTCCTCAGTGTTGGTTGCACAAGGACGTGTTGTGCCCCTGTGATTAGGTAACATATATATGGTGTTGCTTTATGAAACCACTTCACTCTGTCACATGAACAGGGTAAGACTGAGTCATGAATACTATTTGCTAAGTTTCGTACTTTCAAAGCCATAAAATATTTCCATTGGAATTTAAAAAGAAGCCTAGAAAACGCGTATATGTGGTGCTTATTTTATGCCAGTCACTATTCTAATTGCTAAAACTAGGACGGTCCTAGCCAAACTGGGACAATTGGTTAACCTAACATAAAACTACATTTTAAATTTGTTGTTATGAAGCTTATGATAACTGCCTATTAGTCTTGCGTTCTCTGACTACAGAAATTGTGACCTCACAGTCTGTGGATTGCAGTGGCTCCTCTTGGCATATCCCCGCTGTCCTCTTAAAGACCGCTGTGGATTCCATCCTCCCCACTTTCCTGCCTACAAGCCTGGGCTACCTGGAGGTGTCTTGAGCACTCTTTGTCCTGCCTTTCAGGGATCCTGCATGAGACCTTCTAATTAATCATTGTTACTTCTTGCCGTCTACCCTTCATTCTTTATCTTTCTTTCATTTCTCTCTTCACCCTCTGGCCATTTGTCACCTTAACCTTTTCAGGCCAGTTTTTTCGGTCCTGTATCGTCAGCTCTCGTGTCTTGTGTCTCGGTGAATTCATTCCTTAGATCTGGCTGGCCTTGTGCCTCTGCAGAATATAAATAATGCCACTCTATAGGAAGGGTTTTAGGCTAGTTAGGAAGAACTTTCTATCCCTTCCAAAAGAGACAGCCTCATAGGTCTCAGTGATGGAAGGCCCTAGAAATCATTTGATCCAGCCTGTTTTCTTGAAGTAGGAGGGTTCTCCTTATGTATAGAAGAGTCAGAGACAAGCTTCAATATAATGTCTCTTCCCGGTTCTCTCGTCAGGCTGACTAAAGTGTCCACAATTAGATTTTTTTCCCCTTTTTATGTTTGGGTTTTGTGAAATATCACACTGATAAAGTTGACTGCATGGAGTATTGATACATTAGGATGTATCGGTGGTTTATGATGAAGTACGAACAAGTTTATTCTCAAAACAAGGTTTTGAGAAAGGCACAGAAAGCCAGCAACAGGATATTAAATGGGAGAGGAGCTGGGAACGGATGAAGTCATAAATTGAATGCAGACTGTACCCCTCGCTGGTATTTCTCCAAGTGTGGTCTCCAGGCCAGCAGCATCCCCATGTCCTGAGAGGTTGTTAGAAATGCATATTCTTGGGCCCCGTCCCATGGTTGGAAGTCTGGAGGGCACAGGAATTTGTGGTTCTGATTACCTGCTGAGGTCTGAGAAGGGCTGTACCAGTTGTTCATGGTTTGCTAGTTAATAAACCAAGTCTCAGAGGGGACCTTGCTCCATGCCCATGCAATGGGATTTAGGAGGTAGCCATCAGCATTGCATGGATGATCGCTTCTCGGCCTTTTGGTTAAGATCAAGTGTAGCATTGTGTAGATGAAAATAATAGCATCATTTTTGAGGGGGCTTAAAATGTGAAAGATGGGTTTTTATCCTCATTGCCCCTGACCATTCTGGAAATCTCTGCTGGCCCTTGGGGAGATGCCCTAAATATGACCCCACAAGCACACATATGTAGAAAAAATCTTCTCAATTTTTTACAGTGAAAACCATCTCTTAGCCAGAATCCCTGACCCTTCAAAGTACACGTGCAGTAAAATATGTTTCATAAATAAAGACAGGAACTGTGTTTTCTTTGCAAGTGACTACAACAAGTATGCTATGCACAGAGTGATTTTTATTGTCAGATTACCATATATCTTCTATGATTATAACTTTTTAGAGATTGCTTTTTATATCATTCTGGTATTTCAGTGATGATACATTCTCTAAAACAGTCTTAAATTTTCTTTGACAGCAGAATTCTGAAAGGTGGTTAAAAAAATTTTTTTTTAAAATAATTCAGCCCTAGAGTTGACAAATTCAGATCTAGAGTTGATCCCAAGCTCTGATTTATGGGCTTAACAAATTGTTTTTAATTTTTACCATTTTTTTTGTTGTTGTGGTTTTGGTTTTGTTTGTTTGTTTGGTCCTTTTTCCTTTGTAGGAGCTCAAAGGTGAAATCTGGGAATATTCTTCCCACGTGATGTGTTTCCTCAATGACCAACTCCTGGGGGATGCACTTGACCTGCAGAGATGGGCGCAGAAGGCGTGGGATCTCGTGGATGTGAAGCCTGCTGCCCTGTATGAGGCACTCACTTTGGATTATTCCACTCAATTCTTAAGAGACACCAAGGCAAGTTACATTGATTTTGAAAAATAATAGTGGAAACTTTGATCATTTCTACTGATTCAGTATTAATTTTCTATACCCTAATAAAAGGGAAAGAAAAGGTAAGAGATTAGGTCGTAAGTCCTCAGACTACAGCACAGTAAGGTTTGGTGGGCATTGTATAAAGCAACTGTCTCTGACCAGGCAGGCTGCACAGGGAGAACATCCTGTTCAAATATGTCTATTCCCCTTTAGAGATTGGTGTGTATGAATCATTCATTTTAAAATATAAAGACTCCTTGGTGTGCATCAGGAACCCCAGCTACTCAGGAGGCTGGGGCAAGAGGATTGCTTTAGCCCAGGAGTTCAAGGCCAACCTCGGCAACATAGTGAGATTCCATGTTAACACAAAATAAAACAAAAAATATATAAAGACATTCCTCCGCAGCAGGTAGAGCCCAGTGTTCATTAATCTGTAGTGTGACAATTTTAAATCAATATTCTCTAACACCTGAGTGCTAATGCAGGAGAGAGAGAAAGTTTGGGAAGAAAGGGGACATTTTAAAGCATGTCATTTCATGTAAAGGTACAAGATCCCAATGATGAGTGTAACTGTATTGTATACTTAAAAAGTACCAAGAAAAGCAATAAAAAAGAAAAAAAGCATGTCATATAGATGGTGAAAGCAGGCTGGGACATGTTATGGGAATTTTCAGTGGCAGAGGATAGTAAGAAACAGGAGGTCTAGGAAGTGTGCGATGGTAAGAAGTAGAGAGAAAACTAGAAAAGACCCTGAAGAAAGACTGAGACCAGATTCTGAGACAGTCCCTAGCTCAGTATGGCAATTGAAGTAAAAGTATTTGGTAGAGCCGGCGTGGTGGCGCATGACTTCAATCCCAGCACTCGGGAGGCTGAGACAGGAGGATCACTGTGAGTTCGAGACCAGCCTGGGCTACATAGTGAGTTCCAGGTCAGTCTAAACTACATAGTGAGACCCCGTCTGAAAACAGCAACAACAACAACAACAAAAGCAAAAAGTATTTGGTAGGTTGCTCAGAAACCTTGTGGCAACAGCTGTCACCTGCTAAAAGCTGTTCTGTACCATGGTGCCCTGTGTCCATTAGAATGAGCCAGTTCTGGGATCTGAGCAAAGACAAGAAACAAATGAAACATAGTGGGTGCTCTGTGAATGCTTGTTTGAATAAACAGTGCATTTTGAAAATGCTAGAAACTCTTGAGAGTGGAGAAGAATTTACTGTTCATAGTTGATTCACAAAGGGACAGGAGTCTAAAAGTACATAGTATATTCTGGGAGTGTCAGGGGTCAGCAAGGAGGCCAGAATTAGCAGGAAATGAACTGTAAAATCAGGGCTGGAGATTTATCTCAGTGGCATTGTGCCTGTTTTACAAGCACAAAGTCCTGATTTCAATCCCTGGTACCGAGAGAGAGAGAGAGAGAGAGAGAGGAAGAGAGAAATCAGCCCAGGATTCTTGGTGACAACATTACTGAAGGAGAAAAGATGTGTATTGAAATGATATTGGCTGTCTCACAATTGACAGGAAACCTAGAGAGCCAGCTTTAGAAAACAGGTGGAAACCAAGGGAGGCCAGACAGTGGGAAAACATGGCCAGAGTCAGGCCACAGGCATGTGTGGCAGGATGTGCTGCTGGCCCAAGGTCCACTGTGCCACAGTGAGATGAACTTTTCAGTTCTCCTTGTATCTCTGCACCCCCAAATCTCCAAGGGCCTGGGCAGGAACACCTTCCGGCAAGCCTGCGTCATATCCTGCAACCTGGCTGTCGCAGGGGAGGAAAAGGAGAACCTGGCCCCTTTAGGTCCTAGAGAACGGGGCTGGCAGGTCCCTATGGGATATCCCAAAAGGAAGAGTATTCAAATGTTAAGAAGGGAGGAAAAAACTACAAAAGATCCTAGAGAAAGGCTGAAACCAGATTCTGATTTACTGTTCATTCTGAGCCAAAGAGTTAGATTTTATCCAGAAGAAAATCAAACCAACAGAGCCTTTCAGAAAGAATCTGATATTATCCTCTTTATTGTTTTTGGGAAAAGAATTTAGGACTGTGCCAAAGCAGGCTGGTAGCAGGGTGGCCTCTTGCTAAGCTGCTTTAGTGGCATGGGTGAGAATTAACAGAAGCTTGAATTCATCAATGGCAGTAAGGACTCAGGACCTGGACTCCAGAGAAAAGCCTGAGATGGACTTTGCTTGCCAAGTCCAACCCAGGACTTGTTCGCTTGGAGGCTAGGACTATCTGCTGGCTGAGGGTGGTTGTGTGTTTGGCCTCGAGTGACTGTGATGTAACCTTGTGGCGCATTCACTTGATCTGTCTTCATCAGCACTTTCAGGACTGTGCTCTGGATAGCTCCGTAACAATAGTCTAATGATGCACAGGTCAAGTCCGTCATGCCCGAATGGACTTACTTGTGTCCTCAGTCAACCACAACTTCAACACAGCCCCCTTTTCTTCCTGTGCCTGTGAGATTTACTATAGCATGCCTCCTCTTGCTCAGTTATAATGGTTTCCTTTTATAAATTTGTAGTACAGAAGCTAAAAGGCCCAAACGGATTAAATGTAACTAGTACGGATGCAATACTTCCTTACTGGATGCCAGATTACAAATACCACCTTAATCTTTTGGCTTAAAGAAGGGTTAGAATAATATAAAATAATCATACGATACATTTAAAGTCTGACTGTTTATGTTTCCCAGACTCTTTTTTTGTTTGTTTTTTTTGGTTTTTTGAGACAGGGTCTCACTATGTAATTAAGACTGCACTGGAACTCACTGTGCAGCCCAGGCTGGTCTCAAACTCACAGTGATGCTCCTGCATCAGCCTCCCAAGTGCTGGGATTACAGGAGTGCGCCACCAGCCCAGCAGTGTTTCCCAGTCTCTTAAGGAAGAGGGCAGGGCAAGTTATGAAGCTCATTAAGTAAGGTAGCATTTTGGGGCCTGGGGATTTAGCTCAGTGGTTCTGCTGCCTACCTTGTAAGTGCAAGGACCCAAGTTCGACCCCACCACCACCAAAAAAACAAAAACAAACCAAAAAAGCACACTGAAATTTTGGGCCGGGCGTGGTGGCGCATGTCTGTAATCCCAGCACTCAGGAGGCTGAGGCAGGAGGATCGGTGTGAGTTCCAGACCAGCCTGGGCTGCACAGTGAGTTCCAGGGCAGTCTCAACTACATAGTGAGACCCTGTCTCAAAAAATAAAAAAACTTTTTTAAAGAGTGGCATTTCGGCATGTGGGAATGATGCCCAGGACTTGAAGTGAGTTCTGTGAGATGTGCTCTGGCCCCTAACTGAGTGTCAGTGTGGTAAAAACTAGTGTTTTCATTTTGGATGCCTCTTTGTAGATCTAGGTGAGGGTTTAAAGCGGTTATCTCTGCCAGGAAGGACAGCGAGTGGAAACAAGACCTGGGTGTATCTGTGAACGTGAGGGCATTATTGAAAGTGTGCTAAAAGCACAGCATCCTTCTCTTCGCTGCTCCTGCTGTTGTACTTCATAGAGCTGTCGTGGCCTTATTTTCCCACCAAGAGAGGTTGTGGCCTGCCTCTGGCTGACTAATCTGTGCTGTCTCTAAAAATCCAGCATACGTGGTAACCAAAGCCGTGGCACTCACAGTGAGTCTTTTCAGGAAAGAAAAGAGAAGTAGACAATTCCCAGTCTATCTCCCCAAGAGGAAGTGACCAGTGTTCCTTTCTACATTGAGTGATCTCACTCCTGCATGGTAAATTAACATTCTTCAAAGCTTTACCACCGAAGGATTTAAAAATATATATACTGAAAAAGAAATTCTTGATGTCATGTAGGTTGTAAAGGCTTGGTAAAATAAATTAATTTAAATCATTTGTTTAATTTTGCTATGACATTATTCATTGGTAATTCTGTTCAAATCTTATCGCCAAAAACAGAATATCTGTCATATTTTTGGTCACTTCTAAAATTTTCTTAGAAGTTCTAAAACTTTCTTGTGAGATACTGACCCACATTATCTTTTCCTAATTTTAATAGCATGATTTTGTGTTCTTGGACATTGGTGTCAATTTTTTTCCAATTGGAAGATTGATTTTTGAGGTAAGAGGATTTTGATGCTGTTTTTCTTTTAATAAGTAGGAGTCATCTGTAACTGTTAAAATATTACAATTTAATCTTTGAAACCTTTCATCTTTATTTTGTAGCTGTACTGTGATACATGTCCCAAAACATGTAAAAATTTTCAGACCTTGTGTACAGGAAAAGCAGGGTTTTCCGAGAGAGGCATAAGGCTACATTATAAAGGGTCAATTTTTCATCGAGTAGTACAGAATGGTTGGATACAAGGAGGAGGTGAGTTTAAAATTTTAAATAAACTTTATTGCACTGCCAGGCATGGTGGCGCACGCCTGTAATCCCAGCACTCAGAAGGCTGAGGCAGGAGGATCACTATGAGTTCAAGACCAGCCTGGGCTACATAGTGAGTTCCAGATCAGTCTCAACTACATAGTGAGACCCTGTCTCAAAAAGCCAAAGTAAATAAATAAATAAATAATAAACTTCATTGCAATCTCAAATCAGAATGTCAAAAATTTCATTTATCTACCTTTATAAAATGAATATTGACATATAGATAAATTCTTAATATACAGAATGTTTCATATAGCCAGATGATAATTAAGATACTTATATTCTTTCTTCTAATCCTAGGTCCTTACAGTCCTCCTGCTCAGCTTTCTGAATACTTGAGATTATAAATGTGTGCCAGTATGCCTGGTTTATTTGTATTCATTTTTTAAAAATCTCTAATTATTAAAGTAAATAAATTTAGCCAGGCATAGTGGTGCAATCCTGTAATCCCAGCACTCTGAGAAGCTGAGGCAGAAGGAATAAAAAATGTGAGCCCAGCCTGGGCAATTTTGCAACTTAAGTTAGACCCCGACTCAAAATAAAAAATGAGCTGGGGATGTAGCTCTATGCCCTAGATCCAATCCCAATACTGCAAAGAAATGACTAAATATAAATACATTTAAGTTAGGTTATCAGGAGCATTCTAAATTAAAAATTGACAGGAGAGTAGAGTGACTTTTTTAAAATCAAAAAGAAAATTTTTTTTCAGAAAGTAATTTTAAATGCTCAACTAAATACATAAACGTATCTGGAAATACAGTGCTTCTATGGGAATTTGAAAAAAGAAGAAATGGAAAAACATCTTACCACAGATGTTACATTATTACTAATGAAAAGCGTTATCTGTTACATATTACTAATGAAAAGCGTTATCTGAAGGATTTGGGTCTTCATTTTTGCTTTCTCTTCAGATCCGTCATTGGGCGGCTCTGCACACAAGGTGCCTGATTAACAGTACAAAATGAAATGCTCTAGGGCTGCTGGGATATATTCCATAGGGAGCAGTCAGGCAGCAATTTAAAAATAATTGGCTTAGTGTGGTAGAGTTGCTTCAACCTGATGATGTATGCAGAAACTTAAATTGATATTTAATTTTTTAAAATGATCTGGAACATTCTGAGGCTGATGAGGGAGAAAAGGTAGACGCATTCCAGGCCTCTCCTACAGGAAGCAGCTGTTTTTCCCTTAGTCTTTCCAAAATGAGATCTGCTCACAATAGTGTTAACTAACCTCATTGTTTTTCCATTAATATGTGGTTATTTATTTTTCTGTGTCAATAAACATTCAATATTTTTGTAATCTAGCCAGGCATGGTGGCTCATGCCTGTAATCCCAGCACTGGGGAGGCTGAGGCAGGAGGATTGCTGTGAGTTCGAGACCAGCCTGGGGTACATAGTGAGATCCAGGTCAGTCTCAACCACATAGTGAGACCCTGTCTCAAAAAACAAAAAACAAAACAAAAAAATTTTTTTTGTAATCTTTCTAGCTTTTTTATAACATTGCTAAACCAATGTTTTTTTTTGTTTGTTTTTTTTTTTGTGGTACCAGGGATCGAACTTGGGTCTTTGAGCTTTCAATGCCAGAACCACTGAGCTAAATCCCCGTCCCATGATAAAACAATTTAATTACCCACTGACGAACATTTTTCAATTTTTTGTTAGTTTATAACAGCCCCCCAAGGGGCCATTGTCAGAGGCTTCTCTTTTTGTTGTTGTTTTGTTTGCTTTGTCTTTTGAGACAGGGTCTTTCACTATGTAGCCCAGGCTGGCCTCAAACTCCTGGCGATCCTCCTAACTCAACTGGGATTACAAAACAACTGGGATTACAAAACGGCTGGGATTACAAGGCAGGCTGCACCACACCTGCTCAGAGGCTGTAATTGAGTCCAGTGATGATTCCAGAGCTAAGATCTTAGCTGCTACATTGTTTTCTGCTTCAGTTTTGGTTAAATTCTCCCAGAGCAATGCTTGGAAAAAGTAGGTCATATTATTTGTTTGTTTGTTTCTTTGAGGTAAAATTTCCTAATAGTAATGCACACTGATTTTGAAACATTTTCAGACAGGCAGCATTGTCAAGGGTAATTTGGAAGATGAGATTGTTCCTTGTTCTTCCTGAAGCACATCAAGCATATATGGGCCTTGAGGTCTTTTGTCCTTTAGGAGGTATCCACTCATCTGTCTGATTTTTGCCAAAAGTGAATCTCGGCAAGGACTCACCAGACTGTTAAAACTGCTACTTTCCTGTCCACGTTTCTCTCCTCACCTGTCCCTTGCTACTCTCTTATCCCTTTTTTCCTGCTTAATTTCTCTTTATACCACTTTTCACCTTTGGAATTGCTGCTGTATTATTTATAAGATATGCTCTTACATGGACCTAGTATTATAAGATACTTGTTTGTCGTCTTTTTCTCTTCACTGGAATGTAAATTTCATGAGGGTAGAGATTTTTTTTTTTTTTCAGTGTTGCATACCATGTTCTAGAACAGTGTCTGGCGTATAGCAATTGTTTAATAAACATTTGTTGAAATCATTGATGAATAAATAAGAGATAGTTGAAAAGGAAGTGTACATTCTTTCAATTTTGAAAGGGGATCTAAAGATGGCCTCCTACGGAGTGACAGCAAGGTCACAGGGTGCAAACCAATCAAATTGAATGTGTGGGGGCCAGGGGATTTAGCTCAGTGTTTCCACCACCTGCCTTGAAAGCGCAAGGTCCCAAGTTCGATCCCTGGTACCAAAAAAAAGAAATAAATAGCAGCTGGGGATTTAGCTCAGCAGTTCCCCCAACTGCCTTGTAAGTGCAAGGATCCGAGTTCAATCCCCAGTACCAATAAATAAATAAATAAATAAATAAATAAATAAATAAATAAATAAATAAATAAGTTGAATATGTTGAAGTGGTAAACAATACCATGAAAATGTTCCAAACAAATCCCCGAAGCAAAAAAATCCATATAATTCATAAAAGGCAGAGATATCCAGTGTGAGGATAGGATTTCAGAAGGTGAGGACAACGTGGTAATAATACAGGATGGATTGCTCAGAGAAACTTTAAAAATGATAGGAAAGCAAGAAAAAATTTATTCAACACTACTAAATGTAAAGAAGTCTAAGAAGACTAACCTAAGGCTAATTGTAGCTAGAAATTAGAAGGCAGCACACATGGAATAAAAAAATCCATTTACAGGAATAGCAGAACACTTACCAAGTATGAGGAAGGAATTCAACCTACAGGTAAATGGAGCTTACAGAAGCTAAATAACTGATGAAAAAAAGAAGCTTCTTACAACACATCATATTAAAATCCCAAATGTCCAACAAAAATACAGAAACTTAAAAGCTGTCAGAAAAAAGCAAAAACCCATTAGGATGCACCAAACTTCTCAACATAAAGTTTAAAGGCCAGGAGAGCTTAAAGTGAAGTGTTTTAAGCCCTGAAACAACTTCCAATCCAGACTATCTTTCAAAATTGATGGAGAAATAACACAGCAAAGAACAGGTTAAGAGATACATGAATACCAAACTAACACTCCAAAGAAAATTCTAGACTTCTAGAATATTCCAGAATATTCTAGGCAAAGCCAGCAAAACCAACAAGTCAGATGGAATGAATACATCAAGCAAGTCAAGCAGTTAAACAAAAAGGGAACAAAGGAGCCAACAACAGAAAAAGAACATAATGATGGGAATGAGTCAGTACCTTTCAGTGATAATTCTCAATGTAAATAGTTTCAACCTTCCAATTAAAATACATAAATTGGCAGACTGGATCAAAAAGCAAATCTTGAGAGTCTGTTGCATTAAAGAAATATATCTAATCCAAAAAGAAATTCATAAATGAAAAACCAAAGGATATGTAACAGTATTCCATTCACCAGGACAGTGAAAGCAAGGAGTAGCAGTGTTGCTCTAAGATAAAGTAAACTTCCAGCTAAAAGTGATTTGAAGAGGAAAAGAGGGTCACTATGTATTATTTAAGGGAACAATTCAGCAGGAAGAGGTAACCATTGTAAATGTATTTGCACTGAATTTCGGGGCACCTAACTTCATTAAACAAACATGGGTGGACATAAATCAAATAAATACCAGCACAATCATAATGGGTCACCTCAATACCCAACTTTCACAAATAACCAAACAAAGAATTAACAAAAGAAATAGAGTTGAATCACATCTTTGAACAAACAAATATTTTGTTTTGGTACCAGGGATCCGACTTGGGACCTTTCGCTTGTGAAGTAGATGGTGGAACAGCTAAGTTAAATCCCCAGCCCTGAGCAAATGAATTCAACGGATATCAACAGACTGTTCTCCTCTACTACAACAGGGTTTACATTCTCAGCAGCACATGACTTTTCCAAAATAGACCACATGCTAGTTCATAAATTCTGCTTATATAAACACAAAAGAATCAAAATCATCCTAAGTATACTATCAGGTCACAGCATACTAAATTAAAGCTAGAAATTAAAACCACAAAAAACTTACAAACGTTAAATAATACATTCCTGAATGTTCAATGGATCACAGAAGAAATCAGCGAAGACATTAAACAATACCTAGAATCAAAGGATGACGCCAGTGGAACAAATCAGAATCTGTGGGACACAATGAAAGCAGTCCTAAGAGGGGAATGTATTACTGTGAAGGCTCACATTAGAAGTAAAGCATGAGCTCAAACAAATAATCTCGAGAAACTAGAACAGTCCAAACCCAGACAGTACAAGGAGGGAAATCATAAAGATCATAGCAGACATCAATGGAAATGAAACTAAAATACAAAGAATCTATGAATCAAAGATCTGGTGGCTTTTTCTTTTCTTTCTTTTTTTGTACTGGGAATTGAACTCGGGTCCTTGTGCCTCGAGAAACAGGCAGAGGCACCACTGAGTTAAGTCCTGGCCTGAGATTATTTGAAAGGATATACAATGAAAATTTGAACGTGAATTCTTTTTAGAGCACCTATTTTTATTCATGTTGTAAACAGAACTTAATAACTACTGGGTGTGGTGGTACATGCTTAAAATATCAATACTTTAGAAGCTGAAGCTGGAGGATCTCGGATTTGTGCCCACCCTGGGTTATACAGTGAATTCAAGGCCCACCAGAGCTATATAGGGAAACCCTGTCTTAAAACAAATTAAAAGAACTTAGACTTCCTGTTTCATTCTCTCAATTTTATCTGTTTTTTCTGAAAAGCAAGATAGCCCATAGAATAACTTACACAGTAAGCAGAATCTATGTGAACACTTACCTTAAACTGTGACCACATCCTGAGTTTGATCCCCAGTACAAAAAAAAAAAAAAAAAAAAAAAAAAAGGTGGCCACAGTGATAATTTTTTCTTTTTTGGTACTGGGGATCCAACTTGGGACCTTGTTCTTGCGAAGCAGGCAGCGGAACCACAGACCTAAACCCCTGGCCTCACAGTGATAATTTAATGCTTCAGTATTTCAAAAGTTTGCACTAGAATTGAAGCTACCTCTAAGAGTTATTATGAGGACAAAGTGGAATCATGAAAGTAAAACTGATTTACAAAATACAGCTGAAGCTGTTACGGTAATATTTTCACAGTATAGATATTAAATCAGTAGGTGACTTACGATCGTCATTGGGGTAAAGTGGAATCATAATTTAAAGCATTTTCCCCCCATGGTTATGGTACTCTCACCTTTTTTGGCCTCAGAATCCTGTTTGTTTATTATTTCTCAGATATAGTAGCTGGAAAAGGAAATGATGGAGAGTCTATTTATGGACCAATATTTGAAGGTATGTATCTTTACATTTTGCCTGTCCTATATTAGTTGATTATTCAAATTTAAGAGGAGGGGATTTTTCGCAATTCCAGTAAGATGGTATTGGGGTTAAATATTAGTAAAAGCAGAAGTTTAAAATGATGGGGGCAAGGCACCCTGAGTCAAACCAGAACATGGATTAATTGAGCTTCAAAAGGAATAGGAATTTAAATTGATCAGAGCCCAATCAACATTTTAAATCCATGAGTTCATAATAATATTATAAAGTAAAGCCTAATTGGCTGTCTTTGGTGTAATGATAGGAAAACAATTCATTGTCTTATATAGGGAAAGAATCAAACATTTATCCTTTCTTTCCTATGTGAACCATCCCAAATTATAGATGACAAACAACTCTTTATAAAGGTATTCCCATAATGAATGAAAAGGAAGCCGTAAAACTAACATATGTTTTGCTGCCCATGGTGAAATCATAGGTATAGCCATTAGCTAGATTAATATCTACTAATTTTATGCGAACAATGACAGTAGATATTCTGCGGCTTCTGTGGAAATAATTCACCCGAGGGGTAGAACACCCACTTGATGGAAGGGATCGAAGCCAGGGCCTTGTGCATGCTGGGCAAGTGTGTGGCCACTGAACTATACCCAGCCTGGGCCAGGGATTTGGCTCAGTGGTTCTGCTGCCTGCCTTACAAGCAGAAGGGCCGGAGTTCAGTCCTTGGTACCACAAAAAACAAAACAAAACAAAACAAAACAGGGTACTTCCATCCCTACAAGGCTCCTCCTATACCCCAGCCTGGCGTGTCTTTTAAAATAGGAAAGGCCAAACTCTAGTGCTAAAGGATATACAGTTGGATGATGATATTCTTGTGTAAGGAATCATGTGCATGATTCTGTAAAAGCCTATAGAATTGCTATTTTGAGTGAGAAAGGGGCTTGGATTAAAATTTAGGGTTTATAAACCAGCGTGGTGGTGCACACCTGTAATCCCAGCACTTGGGAGGCTAGGGCAGGAGGGTGGTTGCGAGTTCGAGGCGAGCCTGGGCTATGCAGTCAATTCAAGAGCAGCCAGAACTGCAGAGTGAGACCTTGTCTCAAACAAAACAAAACAGAAACACCAATAAAATAAAATTTAGGGCTGGATAACCGTGACCATTAAGCTCCTTCTAATTAAGCTTATATCAGTGAATTAAAAGGAATGAACTAAATAATATATTAGGTCATTATATAAACTGATTCATTTATTTTAACTTGAAGAGAAGCTGTTTTGCTTTATTGTGAATCAAAACTTTTAAGGCCATAAATAAATAGCTTCTCTTTCTGCTCAAGCACATTTCACCTGTTGGGTTATGTCTGGCAGTTCCCACTTATGCTGTCTCTGGCAGAAGTATTCGGGGAGAACAGGCTTGAGTCAGGCCTTTCTGTCATAGCAGTTCAGTCCTCGCCAGACAGAGAGTAAAAAGCCCCTCTACTTGGGCTACACCTATTCAGATGAATCTAAGGAGACTCGGACCCCTCAACAATGCTGTGGATGCCACAGGGTCCTTTTTTTGTCGTTATAAAATGAAAAGCAACTTAATTTAGTGTTGAAGTGATAAATGGAATACACCAACAGTTGGCTATTTTTATAGGATAAAAGCCAGGGAACTGTATATCAATAATTTTTTTTAAAAAAATGTATGGCTGGCCGGGCATGGTGGCGCACCCGTGTAATCCCAGCACTCGGAAGGCTGAGGCAGGAGGATCTCTATGAGTTTGAGACCAGCCTAGGCTACATAGTGAGTTCCAGGTCAGTCTCAACTTCATAGTGAGACCCTGTCTCAAAAAACTAAAATAAATAAATAAAGTATGGCTATTGAAGTTTAGACCTTCCCGGGAGCTTGGAAAGAACTGTAAAGAGGTGGGAGGCAAGAAGAGGAGTTGGTAAAATGAAGAATTATAGAGAAGTGAGCAGATCAGAAAACGAGTCAGACAAAACAAGAGAACATTGAGCTCTCTCCTGTAAAGCTAGCTAGAGTAGGATTGTTTCATACATGATTTTATTTTATTTATTTATTTAATTTGCATCATCTTTTATTTTCTTGCTGTGTTGCCCCGTTTGGACTTGAACTCATGGGTTCACGTGATCCTCCCCTGGCAGCTCCCCAGAACTGGGACTGAGGGGCGTGCCGCCTCTTACACATGACGTCATCAGCTCCCTCAAAGTGACCGACTGAAGGCCTGGTTGTGGCCCACACTCTGCCCTGCTGTTGCTGCCCATGTGGAAACAGCGTGGCTTCATGTCCTTAGAACCACATTAGGGTTCTTTGCTTCATGGCTGGTGATAGAATCATTTAGTTTCTCACACTTTTTCTTTCACATTGTATATTTGAAATTCTTGATCAAAAACTACCTACACTGTAAAAAACACACATCCTTTGTTTCCTTTTTATCAGTGTGGGGTTTTTTGTTTTTGTTTTTATTTTTTGAGACAGGGTCTCTCAGTGTAGCCCAGGCTGACCTCGAACTCGGGGCAGTTCTCTTGCCTCAGCCTCTTGAGTGCTGGGACTACAGACCTGCACCACCACGCGCGGCTATTTCAGTGGTTTTCAAATTGTCCTCTAAGGAGTTCCGCTAGGGTCCTGAAGAAGAGGTATCTTCAGGTAGTGAATGGACTGTATCCCTTTTTTAAAAATATCATGGGCCGGGGATTTAGCTCAGTGGTTCGGTGGCCTGCCTTGCAAGCGCAAGGACCCGAGTTGGATTCTCGGTACCAAAAACAAAACAAAACAAAACAAAAGAATGGGCTGGAGATTTAGCTCAGTGGTTTGGTAGCCTGCCTTGCAAGCACAAGGATCCGAGTTCAATCCCCGGCACCAAAAAAAAAAAAAAAAACCAATAAACAAAAATAAAAATATCATTTTAGCCAAGTGTAGTGTCACATGCCTATAATCTCAGCATGCTGGGAGGCTGAGGCTAAAAGATTGAAATTGTGAGCCCAGCCTGAGTAACATAGTGACTTAGTGAGACCCCTTCTCAAAGTATATCATAAAATGTGGCTGAGGATACAATTCAGTGCAGAAGCCCAGAATGCAATTGCCAGTATCGCCAAAAAAACAACAAACAAAAATCTATTTTATATATGGACTTTCATACAAGTAGCATTTTTTTTTATGATAGATATTACAACTACTTTTAAAGTTCTTCCAAAAATCACACATTTTTTGGTAAAAATGTTATACTGGTATAAATTTTCTTTCCTGTTCCTTATAGAATTTAAGAAAAATCAATCATATTATCTAATAGTGATAAATACTATTTTTCAAAAACTCTTTGAATTTTTGCATTGGGCAGATTTATGTTCCATAAAGGGATTTTTTTCTGTATTCCACTAAGATGGCTATAGAGCACTGATGTAATTATATAAACTCATTGATGTAAAAAATGCCTTAATTGCATTTTATAGGATTTCAAAGGCCTTTGTTCAGCTTAAAATTTTTGTTTGGCTTCACTGTTCAGTTTGCTTTGTTTTGAAACTCAAAAATGATAGGAACAGTCAGCAAGTGCAGTTTAATAAAATCTTAAAAACAGTATTCATATTTCTCAGTTATTCTCTTAACTTTATAAAGTTGCTGAATAAAAACTCTTCCTGAATTTATTTATTTGTTTGTTTGTTTATTTATTTGTTTTTTGGTACGGGGATCGAACGCAGGACCATGTCCTTGAGAGGCAGGTGGCAGCACCACTGAGCTAAATCCCCAACCCATCTTGCTGAATTTCTAACCCATCATTTCTTTCTGTGCATCAGCACATAGGGGCAAAACTGGAAATGATATTTCTGGAAAATGGTAGCTTGATCACCACTGTACAGTTCTTCTTACTTGTTAACTTTACACTAAAAGAAAACTGTTGCTTGCCACAAAATCTTGGTCAGTCCACATGAGGTTTGAGAGGAAAATTTATTGAAGACTGTAGCAATAACCATAAATGATTTTCATCATTGTCAATGTGTAGGGCCACACCTGAGGAAGTTGGTGAGTTAGGAGGCTTGGAGAAAAAGCTACCAGGGTCGAAGTTCCTGCTGTCCCACAAGGGAGGAAATGATGTAAACCAGTGGTTCCCCATAAACAGGATTGTCAGAGTTAAGTGGAAGATGCTACTAGGCAAGGGGCAGACCTAGCAAAGACCTCTCGGGAAGTTTTTCTTAAAATTGCCTTTATTTTAAAAAAATTGTTGGCATATTTTCAAGAGTCAGAAGGAGTGGGTTTTTTGTTTGGTTTGGTTCTGTTGGTACGGGGATTGAACTTGCACTTTCGAGGCAGGCATCACACCACTGAACTAAATCCCCAACCCAAGAAGAGGTGTTTTTAATGGTCACATTGGTAGTTTGAATAAAGATTCTGCTGCCAACAGCAGTGAGCTTCTCTGACATTTATTGGTAAGCCAAGTATGTACTTTTAACAGTATTTTCTTAGCTATGGTAAAGATAAACTAGAACCAGCTGCTGAAATAGTTGTAAGATTTTACAGCATGTCTTTTCACAGTCCCTGTGAATGTATGCAAGTAATATGAAAAATTAGTGCATTTGCAATTTGTAGTGTATTAATATCGATTGAGATTATTACTGAAGTGTCCTGTTTCTTCCTCACTGTTAAAATCAACCGAGATAAAAATGTTTTATCGATCTACTGATTAATGTCTCTTCCAGATGAAAACTTTTCAATTCCTCATAATAAAAGAGGAGTTCTTGGAATGGTCAACAAAGGCTGTCACAGCAACGGCTCACAATTCTATATTACACTACAAGCAACTCCCTACCTGGATAGGAAATACGTGGCATTTGGGTATGTACTTTGTAGGTGGGTGTGTGTAGTGTTCACTAAACATTGTTCAAAAAGGGTTTGGATGGCCAGGCGTGGAGGCGCACGCCTGTAATCCCAGCACTCAGGAGGCTGAGGCAGGAGGATCGCTGTGAGTTCCAGACCAGCCTGGGCTACATAGTGAGTTCCAGGTCAGTCTCAACTACATAGTGAGACCCGTCTCAAATAAAAACAAAACAAAAAAAGGTTTGGATTAGCATTCCACAGTCTCTGAGCAGCCTGTGATAGAGTAAAATAAACAAACAAACAAACAAAAATGAAAGTAATACACATATAGACAACCATACTTACAAATATTCTGTAAGAAGCTTAGTGTGCATAAGACCACAGAGACCATTTAGACAGCTATGATGATGCTCTGTTTATCTACCAGGGACCCATCTGTCCCTCTACCTGTCATTCGCCCCAAGAATACTACCCATTCTGAATGATTACAAGTCATACTACAGCGCTTCCCAGTGTGGGCGCATTCGTGTGCAGAAGTGAGAAATAACTGTCCGTGAGCACTGTGCAGAGACTGATGGAATCTATCAGTGTTAACACATAGCTTTCTTGTACTGAACAGTTTCAAATACAGAATTGTCTGATAAATTTTACAATATGACTATTATTAGCCAAATGTTTGTAGGTATGTGCCCTGAGATGGGCACTCGATACACTTTTCTTTTCCTCATTGAGTTTATTGGTCCATTTTAGGGATACAGTGCAGTTACATTCATCGTTGGGCTCTTGTACCTTTACATGACAGGTCTTGGTTCTCATTTAAAAGGGATAATCTCAGAGAATCTTTTCACTTGCAGTCTTTTTTTGTTTTTTGGTACCAGGGATCGAACTTGGGTCCTTGCGCTTGCGAGGCAGGTGGCGGAACCCCTGAACTAAATCCCTGGCCCTCGTTACACTTTTCACTGTTTCATTTTCTGTCTCATTACTACAGTGAATATGAGGTAGAACTTAACTTTGCCTTCCTTGAAGTGATAGAAAGTGTTAGCCTCTGGTAGCTGTCAGATCACTCCAGTCCCTCCATAGGGCTACTACTCTTCAGCTCATGAAGGAATTTCATGTCCACGTTAGGGTGTGTGTGTGGCCGGCGACTGAACCTAGGGCCTCATGCTTTATGTGCTCTGTGGTAAGCCACTACCTCTTTATTCTTTATTTTGAGACAGGGTCTCACTAAGTTACTTGGGCTGACCTTGAACTTGCAGTCCTCCTGCTTCAGCCTGGATCATAGGCATGTGCCGCCACACGCAGCACCTGTGGTAATTTTAACCACAGTAATTCCTTTAGTGAATGCTTTCTGTGATATTTCCAGGTTGAAGTAGTAGAAAGTAGATTCCCATCCAAAAGGTCATCGTTAAAGGGTTACTTTACCTCTGTAGATTCATAACCTAGTATAATGAATTGTCTTCAGTTTCCCTTCATAGTAATTTAACTGTATTCTGACTTTGAAAATGCTTTCTTGAATTAAATTTAAATCCAAATAACCCTCGTCTTTTCTTGGATCATTTAAGTCTCATTGCTGTCCTAGTTCTGACAATCTACCCTTTCTGCCAACCGCTTGGTGAGCCTTTGCATCTCATTGCAGTTACCCTTTCCAAATGAACACAAACATGACTGCTCTAAAATGTGTAAGGCCTCCGTCACCGCCCGCTCCTGCAGACATCTGGAGCCCCTAGTCTGATGCAGCATTCTGTGTCTCTCACTTCCTGGCCCTGCTTCTCTTTTGCAGCTGCCATTTCTGACACCTTCCTAACTCATTCAATGAAAATTTTATTAGATACCTATTATATGCCAGTCCTGGTGCTCAGTGTGGGGAGAGAAAGATGAGGCACAACTCCTCTCTCTCTCACTATGATTTTTTTTTTTTTTTTTTTTTTTTTTTACCAGGGAGGGAGCTTTGGGCCTGT